ATGACCCTGTAGCAATATGTCCCCTTTGGCGTGATGAATGATGTCTTCTCTTGGTCTGGGGGATGCATGCTAATCTGGTTGTACCCCGAGTATGCATCCAGGAAAGTGAGCAACTCATGCCCAGCGGTGGCGTCGATGAGGAGGTCAATCCGAGGCAGTGGATAACTATCTTTTGGGCATACCTTGTTTAGTTCTGTGAAGTCGACACAGAGGCGCCACTTCCCATTAGCCTTAGTAACCATTACTACGTTGGAGAGCCACTTCGGATACGCCACTTCCCTGACTGCCCCGTTATCAATCAGCTTTCTAACCTCCTTGTCCATGGCTTGGGCCCTTTCAGTGGAGGCTCCCCTTAACTTTTGGCGAACAGGCTTGTACAGTGGATCGACATTGAGGTGGTGGGTAGCTACTTCCGGGTCGATGCCCTCAAGGTCCTCATGCGACCAAGCAAAGATGTCCATATTACGCTTCAAAAAATCAATCAACAGGGGAGCCAGCTCTTCAGAAAGGGAAGAGCCAATGTAAATTCTTCTGTCTGGGTGCTCCTTTTCTAAGACCACAGGGATGAGTTCCTCGACTGGTTCTCCTCTTTCTGTTGCGGAGTCATCCCTTGGGTCAAGGACCTCAACCTGCAATGCTTATTGGGGCTTCCTAGCCTTCATAGAGGATACATAGCACTCTCTGGCTGTTATTTGCTCCCCTTTGACCTCTCCGACACCATTTAAGGTTGGAAAGNCTTCATGTTGGTTCATGGATCGAGTAGTGATCACCATTAGTTAATGGATGTAATGTTTAGGGGTGAGAATTTTGAATNGAGTCATCCCTTGGGTCAAGGACCTCAACCTGTAATGCTTCTTGGGGCTTCCTAGCCTTCATAGAGGATACATAGCACTCTCTGGCTGTTATTTGGTCCCCTTTGACCTCTCCGACACCATTTAAGGTTGGAAAGCGGAGAACGAAATGGTAGGTAGAGGGCACAACTCTCAATGTGTTAAGAGCTGGCCGTCCTAATATGATATTGTAGGCTGACGGANCACCTGTCAAGTGTAGGTAATAAATGCAGTGAAATCAATGAAAAAATTAAAGAAGACTCAATTCGATNGACCTCTCCGACTTCATTTGAAGTTGGAAAATAGAGAACAAAATGGAAGGTGGAGGGCACAACTCTCAATGTGTTAAGAGCTGGCCGCCTTAATATGATATTGTAGGCTGACGGACACTCTATTACCAGGAAGTTGACCATGACTGTGGAGCTTCGGGGTGTTACTCCGGCGGTGACGGGAAGTGTGATGAATCCAAGGGGATACACTTTTTCCCCTGAGAATCCAATGAGGGGTGACTTGATTGGCTGTAACCTCTCCCTGCCCAGGTTAAGCTTGTCATAGGCCTCTGCAAACAGGATATTCGCAGAGCTGCCACTATCCACCAGGATCCTGTGCACATGAAAATTGGCCACCGTCATGGTGAGCACCAAGGGGTCGTCATGGGGGTGTTGGATTTCCTCCAGGTCCTTGTCTGAAAAAGATATGACCTCGTCGCCTTCCTGCTTCGGCACCTTAGATGGGCGCATCTCGTAGACATGTCTTGCCTTCCTGGCATGGGCCTTCATCGCGGAAAGTGATTCTCCCCCACCTGCTAGTCCCCCTGAGATAGTGTGGATTTCCCCCACTGGCTGCTGATCTTCCTGGTTGTGAGGTTGTGGTGCTCGTTCCCTTCCAACAACGTACAGGTGTAAGTGACCACGCTGGATGAGCCCCTCAATTTGCCTCTTGAGGTCATAGCAATCGTCGGTGTCATGCCCGTGGTCACGATGGAAGCGGC